GATGAAACTAGCACTGGACTGATGAAACCAGCACCGACCTGATGAAACCAGCACTGACCAGATGAAACCAGCACTGACCTAATGAAACCAGCACTTACCTGATGAACCAGCAATGACATGATGAAACCAGCACTGACCAGATGAAACCAGCACCGACCAGATGAAACCAGCACTGACCAGATGAAACCAGCACTGACCTGATGAAACTAGCACTGGCATGATGAAACCAGCACTGACCAGATGAAACCAGCACTGACCAGATGAAACCAGCACTGACCAGATGAAACTAGCACTGAACTGATAAACTAGCACTGAACTGATGAAACCAGCACCGACCTGATGAAACTAGCACTGGACTGATGAAACTAGCACTGACCAGATGAAACCAGCACTGACCTGATGAAACCAGCGCTGACCTGATGAAACCAGCACTGAACTGATGAAACCAGCACTGACATGATGAAACCAGCACTGGCATGATGAAACCAGCACTCACCAGATGAAACTAGCACTGACCAGATGAAACCAGCACTGACCTGATGAAACCAGCACTGACCTGATGAAACCAGCACTAACCTGATGAAACCAGCACTGACCTGATGAAACCAGCACTGGCATGATAAAACCAGCACTGACATGATGAAACCAGCACTGGCATGATGAAACCAGCACTGACCTGATGAAACTAGCACTGACCAGATGAAACCAGCACTGACCTGATGAAACCAGCACTGACCTGATGAAACCAGCACTAACCTGATGAAACTAGCACTGAACTGATGAAACCAGCACTGACCGGATGAAACCAGCACTATAACCTGATAAAACCAGTACTAAACTATCTTTAACAAGCACCAAGCAGATGAAACTAGCACTGACCAGATGAAACCAGCAGCGACCTGATTAAACCAGCTCTCACCTTAAGCAACCAGCACTGACCTGATGAAACTAGCACTGACCTGATAAAACCAGCACTAAACTATTTGAAACCAGCACCAACCAGATGAAACTATAGCACTGACCAGATGAAACCAGCAGCAAACTGATTAAACCAGCAGCGGCCTGATTAAACCCTGCTGAAACAAGGACTGACCAGAGAACCTAATGAAACCAGCACTGACTGGATGATACTGACCTATTGAAACCTGAGATTAAACTACAGACGAGGTGAAACCATAGCACACCAAAACCAAAAAACAAACTACAACCACCACTCAACTCAAGAAGCCAATTCTGACCACATGAGCCTTGCCTTAAAGTAAAACACAGCTGTAGTAAAAAATTCTATCCCAGAAAACCAAATTTTCTTGTAAAATCAGCACTATAAAACCTGCAAAGCTGTGGCAAAACTACCTCAACATTGGCAGCAAAAGGATGTCTGGCCGACTTTCATTTGACATGTCACTGGGGGTCACTTTTGACAGTCGACTTCATCTGCACTTGCCTTGTGGCAGGCTTCACAGGCCAACATTCCAAGGGTATTATTGCATTTCCTCCCCAAAGATGTACACCTGACACATACACAGACTAATTGATTAGGGACGAGGCCCTGCCAGATGCAGGTGAATACTGAGAGGAGATTTTTATTAATTGTTTCCTCCTCTGCGGCCAGGTCACAAGTTTCCTCGGCAGGAAACAGGGGAAATGTGGGACAGGCCCGGCCCATTTGTACGCTGATCATGCCTGTTTTGTAGAGATAAGTTCTTCTAACAAATTAGTCACTGACCACGCCGAGTGTCTACTATGAGCACACCTCCTCCCGGAGGAGTAAGACGTGACAAAAAAAATTCCCACAAAAAATTTCTTCACCAGGGTGTTTTACCCATGCTTTTGACTCTAAGACTAAAGACTTAATTGCCTAAGTTCTACCAATGCACAGTGACATCAAGTACATATTTGTTCGTAAAGTGGGCATCATTCGAGTCAATAAACTGCAGCATCAAAGTGTAAAATGAATCAAAGGTATATCTCTTTTTGGGGGGAAAATTAAATTATGTCCAAGCACACTGTAGACACACAACACCATCCCACACCAAAATTACTCAGTTAAACAAATTTCAAAAAAAGGTGGGATAATATTGGAATTTTTGTAATGGAACTCAAGCCATTCGGTGTCAGAACAAATTCTGCTCAATTGTGGCCGTTGGTACCACAGCTGCTGCTCACAGCGGGCATTGGTTCCACAGGTAAACACAACACAAATAGGGCCAATCAAAAAAAAGCATGATCTATCAGCTTCGTCCAGTCACAACTACGCAAATTTGTCCCAAATCTGCACAAGAAATCATATTTTTTTTTCTTTTTGGCTTAATTCGTTGTCTGATGCTCTTATTAAGTCCCCCTGGGCTGTTGTTGACTCAACACACATTGAATGTTTTCTTTTGTAATTTTTATTTTCAAAGGTGCGGGATCCGAAAGTATGTCCAGTCATAGAGCAATACTTCAGAGTTGAGACGCAGGTCAATGGGGTCAGTAGGACAGAAAACTCTTCTAGGGAGTTCTGGTATTAGTCTATGTAATAGACCATAACGAAAGCCATGGTCTAGAACATTTGAGCAGATTCACTAATTAATTATGCAAGACAACCGCATCTTGACCTCTAGATTTTGACCAATCAGCGAGCGCTTTCTATATCAGGTCTTCAGTCATTCACCATTGTTGCGTCATAGACATGGATAAAATAAACACCCTATAGACACAGCAACAAAGGCTGTGGTCATGCGCTCTAGTATTGAGTAACGCGATTCGCGCCCGGCTGTTGTATTACAAAACACTGCATTCGAATTGACCAATCACAGTTTTAGTCCTGATTTGGGAATGAAATGACGTCACGATTTAGTAAGTCAACTCTGAGTTGGCTGAGGCGCGAGATCGCATAAATCTGCATAAATCATGCTTTGACATATCAGACGTTATACAGGAGACTATTTGGCTCCGTGGATAACGGGTGATACTCAGACTATTCTGGTATATGCTACCATATCAAGTATACAATAATTATCTTCTCCATTAACAATTAAAGACAAAAAAGGCTACTGTTAAAGGTTTTGATTGCAAAAATAAAGATAAGGGCAATGACACATGTAATCAGATCTCATTAAATAAGTCTAGAGGTCATTTTCACTTATTCATTACAAAGAGTATACCCAGGAGAAAATGCCAATTTCAACAGGTCTCAACTGGAATTAACTGGTCTCGAACTGGTACCTGCATGTTGGATTCAACTGGTAATTAAACTGGTAGCGCAACTGGTTTCAACAGAAACCAGTTGAAACCAGTTGAACAGACCAGTTTTATCAACAAGTAATTCTTATGGAGTCAACAGGTACCAGTTAAAACCAGTTGACAAAACATACCAGTTAAAACCAGTTACCTACTGGCTATTCGCATGGAGTCAACATGCAGGTACCAGTTGGAACTAGTTGAACAAACTGATTGTCAACATGTAGTCAAGTTTGAATTCTAGTGTAGGCCTACATATGTATTTGAGACTCCTGTGTCCGATCCATTCTTTGTGCATGAGGCCACTGTGAAGTGTTTTGTTTGTATTATTTATGCTCGCCTGCAATTCCTTGATATGTTTATGGTACTGGTACAAACAATCAGGTCAAAATTAATCAATTCCTATATGCTGCCAATTTCTTTTTTGCTAATCGCTAAAGATAAACAGGAATTTCCAAGCAAAATAGTCTTTGCAGAATTCCAGGAAAGTGCATTAAGATTCCAACAATCATGCATCCTGATGTCAACACTTGATTCAGTTAGAATCACATTCATATCTGGTTAAACCCAGCTGAACCAGTTCACTATTCAGTTCAAAATCAGTTCCGCCAGTTTTACCAGTTCAATTTCAGTTAAACCATAAAACCAGTTGCACCAGTTCAAAACCAGTTCAAAACCAGTTCAACCAGTTCAAAACTAGTTAAACCAGTACAAACCATTTATACCAGTTTGTACCAGTTTGCACCCGTTCAAAATCAGTCATTAATTTCCAGTTCAGCTGGTACCAGATGAACAAGTTGAAACCAGTTGAACTGGCTTCAACTGGAATTTTCACCCGAGTATTCAGTTCTTCATACAGATATTACAAAGTTTGATATTCAGATGAATTTAGGCATTGTGTGGGTTAAAATGTTGAACTAATACTTGTTCCCATTATTGTACAAGGTTCAACTCAAAAGTAGCTGTGACATCTTCTGATCTCTTTGTATGATGGTCAAATGTGCTTTTATTAAAACCAGTGTTTATGACAATTGAGTTTTGGCCCACACCGTTTCCAGATTTTAGGTACATAGGACCAAGCATGCATTAGGCCAAAAAAAAAATAGTTCTGCGTCCAATTACATTGCATTCAAAAATAGGGTATGTAGGTAGGGAATGTTTTTTGGGCCAATTTTTTTTAAGTACGATCAGAGGCGTCTGCGTGTAGTCAAGGGTAAAATGTAGAAATTGATGGTTTTGGGTGTTTTTTCCTCATTTTTCCAATAAAAAATTTAGGGTAGGGGCTGTCAGAATAGGGTAGGTATATAGGGAAACCGGAAGCAGAACTATCATTTTTTTTTGGCCTAATAGGAATCTATACTGATATCTGGCTTTTTACTTAACCTTTGATCAACAACATGCCCATGCACAGGCACAGCACTCAAATCAATGTACAACTACAGCAATTAGAGAATATGAAGTTCATCACTCGCATACAGCTGTGTACAATTGTAGAAATACAAGATTGAATTTCTTTCTTTACATTTGCGCATGTTCAGTCTCGAGTCCAAATTTATCTTTGGTAAAACAGAAAGTTCAACGAATTAAGAATACATATGAAGTTTAGTTGTCAAATTTACGATCAGCCATGGGATCGCAGTATTTTGCCAGCCATACAATAGCAAAGAATAAACCATTTATTCTTGACAAATATATTTGAAAATATACACTACACAACTTTCCACAATTTGTCATTATAGGTCTATATGCAGTTGTATGTATAAACCGAACGTTTCATTGTTACGCGGTGCAGAACACCCCTTTCTATGAAATAGTACACCCATGGCCCTCCACTTGACCCAATTGTGCTGATAACGATTCATGTGTGCATGGTGCATGCACACATGAGTATAGCTCGTTTAAGCCAGTTTCTGTGACAAAACGTACACACTAGAGTTCACATATTGATTGGCAACAAAAGAGAGTGCAGGCTCCAATATTGAATCATGTCTGGTACAGAGCAAGTACGGATCCTCATTTGGTGTACCGCACGTTCACTGTCAACCGTGTTGGCACGCTCCCTATCTCAGTATCCAGGGTCTCAGTGCCTGATGGAACTCTTTCAGGTTGCTGCCTATTTGGGTCCTGAGCGCCTATTCCCCGAGACAGAGCCACTCTTTGAGCCCAAAATGACATTCAGCTATGTGAGAGACCTGTATGAGGAACCATGGCCCGGCAAATCCTTGGTGCTCGGCAAAGAGGTGTCATATGGCATGAGGAGTCTGGGCATGATACCAGACGGTTACCAGCATGTCTTCCTGATCCGAGACCCTGCAAAGTCTCTACGGTCAATAGAAGAACGCATACAGAAGTTTGACTGCAAAAAGAAGAGAGAGTTCTATCTGGGGCTGAATCAGTCGGCAAATCTAGCCGAAATGTACCAGCATGTGACCAAAAACCTAGGCAAGAAAGCATTAGTGCTGGACGCCGATGATCTGATCGCCAATCCTTCACAGATGCTTCAGTGTCTCTGTGCCGCTGTTGGGCTTCAATACACCGATGAGCTTCTCAAGTGGGACCGGGCCAGTGGAGTACCAGCCAACTGGTTGATGACCGACAAACAGTGGGAGAACCATAAGAAAGCAGGATGGTTTGACAAAGTGTTGGACAGTACAGGTTTCAATACACCGGCGACAAACCCAGGGGCAAGGGATGAAGGGACAGGGCCATCCCCCCACTTTCAACGGATGATTGCAGAGGCGTTGCCCTATTATCATGATCTCCATCGACTGCGCATCAAACCTTAATAGACCTTATGTGTTAAGGTGAGGCGGAGGGCAATGGTTTTGTTTCACTGGACAGGCATGAATGAACCTTTCCTACATCCATTGTTCCTGTATTAAAATAACAAAGAAGACCCTCTGAGCTACCGGCAATCTATTGGGTTGTAGACAAAAACTGCCTGCCATGATCAATCTGAGAGGCAAGTGATGGAACTTCTGAATGAAGCACATGTGTTGGTACAAACACACATGTGTTGGTACAAACACACCAGATTGCAGGGCGGGGGGTACGAGGGAACCCCCACCCCACCCCACCCCAGTCCGTAAATGACCCTCTTAACCATCAAAAACCTATCCAAACAAGGGTGTGCCAACCTATATTCTAAAAATTACTCAACTTATACTTTGACACTTGGAATACTTTTCAAAAGTCTTCAGACATGAAACAGGAACATATAAACTTTGTAGATATTAAAAAAAAAAATACAAGGGAAATAGCCAAAACTCTTTAACTGAATGTTTGGTGTTAACAAATGAGAAACAAGGGCCATTTTTTTTTTTTTATAAAACACCAGGAAAAAACAAAATTTTAATGGTCAAAATGGTTTGTAACTTTGCTAACTTTAATAAGTCCACAAAGGATTTCTTTCAAACTTTGCTCTGAATACATGTATAGTCCTTAAAAAATTAAGTTTTTGAAATGCAAGGTTGGAAATAAATAAGTTGAATAAACTAGATGTTTTTCTTCTGCAAGGATTTTGTTTCTTCAGATCATTAAAGGCCAAAATTGAGTTTAAATTACAATTGTGTTTTACAAACACTTTAAGTTAATAAACAACATTTGCAAACATCAAAAAACAAAACTACCAAAATTATTATGAAATACCTTACTTGACTGCAAGTGCATAATAGTTTCTAGCATCCTGAGATATCATCACACCTGGTGTGCTGTCATTTTTCAAGAAAAAAAAGTGAAATTTTTGTTTCAATTTTCAACGATGGTTGGCCAATCATCATTGGAAAAAAACTTACTTTTTTTCAAATACTGCCCCCAATTCACAACATTTATAGTTAGTCCACATTTTTTGTTGTTATCGGTATACACATTCGTGAATGGGTGCAAGCCAGCTAGTCTGGTCCCCTGACCCGAAAATTGCCCGACGCCAACAAATTGCTCCGTTTCCTCTGAAGCAGGTTCAAGGGAACCAGACCACAAAAACAACATTTTTTTCTTGGTTTTTCCAGCACCTATAACACACAACTTGAAGCAGGTCAGTGTAATAATATTTGCTATAAAATATTACTATACCTCATCCATATTCATGATCGAGAGCCCAATTCCCACTGGTCCATTCACCATCACATGCCAGCCGCTATTTTTGCTGTTTACCAAGCACGCACGCAAGTATTCACGCACAGGGTAAATATGCATGCATGTGTAGTAGACTACGCACGGGTTACGATATTATACAAATATTGAATGCTTCGAGTGGTGTAGTAAAACTAGCCTCCCGAGGTGATCCATGGACATTCTATTTTCCCGAGGTGAAGCCGAGGGAAAATAGAATGGTCCATGGATCACCGAGGGAGGCTAGTTTTACTTCACCACGAGATAAAGCATTAAATATTTGTTTTATAACACTTCACCCACAGATTCTGCTTGATTTTAATATTTTAAATTATTTAAATCTGAACACAGTTGAAATAAACTTCAATTTCAATACAGAATTGGTGGAAAATGTATTTCTCTCTTCCAAACTACCCCTTCGCGAAATGTTTGAACCCAAATCAGCGGCGCGCTCTCTTTGGAACAATACGCGCTACGCGCAACGTGCACACAAGCATCCATTTGCACACAAATACCGCGCCGTGGAAATAGTACTTTGGTTGCCAATGGTATAGTACTTTGGTTGCTACGGGTATAGTACTTTTGGCCGTGCACAGAAAGATAGCAAAATTAGAAAGTAACATGTGACTCGCTCTCGGCCAATCAAGACACAGAATCTGTGGATGAGGTGTTATAAAGTGCACTATGCATGCGCTTCACGAGGCAATTGTGAAACTATCGCACAGGTGTAGTAGGCATGAAAAGATAGCAGCACACGTAAATGTTAATCAGTGGTTTCCCGAGCTCAATTCGTCAATTGAACATGTATGAGGTATAGTAAAACAAATATGAAACGTGGTTTATTTCGGAAAGATAGTCAATATTAGCTCCCCTTGGTATTGGAAGTTGACGAACTAGTTCCCTCAGCTTCGCCTCGGGAACTAGTTTGTCAACTTCCAATACCTCGGGGAGCGAAAATCGACTATCCACCCTCAAACCATGTTACGCTTGTATACTTTACACCCAAATCCACTCATTTCTGAAAATTACAGCCAGAGCAAATGTTGTACATAATCTCAAGTCACTGTAAAAGAATAAACAAGCTTTACATATTTAAAATCTTGTCTATTTGTTGGCTGTAAAAGGTCACTGCAAACACTGCTAGGTTTGAATGATCGTTCAAACATATACTCACAAGCAGTGACTGAAATAAACATGGTCGACTGTAAAAGGTCACTGTAAAAACTGCAAGGTTCGAACGATCTGCATTCAATGTACCCACAGGATGTGACTGAAATAAACATGGTAAACATTGGACAGCAAAAGTACGTCCAACCTCACCATACTTCAGGCAACCAAACCATGCCTTGGGAAAGTTTGCGAGCAAAATGACAGGCAACTCCAGGTCTCACGGTCTGCCTAAGAAAGATAAGAGCATCACAGCATCCGTGCCTCCTGAGACTTGACACTATCACGAACAAGGCAGCCTTGATGTCCTGGCTATGACCTTCCTTAGCACTTCTACCAGGAAGCATTGAGGTTTTGGATGCTGAACTTGTGGACAAAACTTCTTCTTCTTCCTTTTTTTTTTTGGGGGGGGGGGGGCACTTCAACCCCCTCCTTCTCTTTGATTCAAACAGCAACTCTGAGTCACTGCAAACAGATTAGACAAGGTACCGGGGAGGTGTCAAGTGCCTGAGCTTAATGAGCTGGGGGACTTCCAAAACTCTGTGTGACATCACAGCCAATTTGTTCACTGGATGACTAACCCAATGCTAACATTGTTTAGGTTTGTGCATACTTCGGCAGTGGCATACCCACATTGTCAAAGAAGGCTGGCTGAATCCAAGATTTTTTTTTCAAGAGGTGGTTGATATTTTGAAGCCATGAGCAGAGATTGGCAATATCGTCACCGTTTTCACGAAGGGGCGAATTTCATGAAAATCGTCTGTTTTTCGAAATTTGTTTTTGTTTTTTGGTGAAAATGAATAAAGATATCAATATCTACAACCTGGTGAGGCTATACCAGTACTTGCATATTTAGGTATCAGTTTCAACTTGTCAAATGAAAAAAGGACCAACTTTAAACGCGATTATCTCGAACGTTTGTTCAGATAGTGAAATACTAAATTCGCCTCTTCGTGAAAATGGTGACGATATTATGTGTTATTTTAGGAAGAGGAATTTAGTAGGGGGGGGGGGGGAGGGGGAACAAAATATCTTTCCTTTTTTCAGCTTCACACTCCATCTCATTTCTTTCTCATTATAGTCTGCTACCTTGTCAAACTATAGTTCAACACTGGTCCATTTTCTGCTCGTGAGACACAAAGTCCTGCCCTGCAGAGTAAACTGCTGGTGTATTTTTAATTTGTTTGAATGTGGCCAGGATGCGTATGAATCTTCGGCTATTGGGGAAAAGCTGAAGCCAGAAACGAGGCTGTGTTTTCGTAAAGTATAATCAATAAGAAACTGAAAAGGGTATCCTAACTCTCATCTTGAAAGAGTAAAACAACAAAAAGGGCCTCCCATATTGCTGTATATATAGCATAGAAGCAGGGCCATGAAATTGGGCCAGCCAGGTCTCAAAAGCAGGTCACCCCCAAGTTGCTTTCAACTGCGAATCTAATTTCTGGGTGATGTGAACTTATTATACGCACAGGTTGAACTGGGTCATACTTTAAAAGTCGGTCAGTGCAAACCCAGTGGAAGTCCCTTTTTGGGATTGAAGACTGGACAAGCATGACATAATTTTAAAAATACTTTGAGGGAGGGGATGTAGTTTAAAGTTTCGAGATCAGGATTATATTTCTACCTGGGATAATTGATTCCCGCTGTGGAAAAATATGAGGTGAACAGACCACGGACATACAGTTTGGGGAAAACACGGACTTCTCCATAGTGATGTAAAGTTCAACTCTATAACTTATACATGAGTGTGAACAATATGAACAACACCTGGCTATGCTACTAACACACAGGGTCTATCTAAGTTTGTTTCTGCATTTAATAGGGGACATTGAACAATAGAAGACAATAGCGTCCCCAATTCCCGAAGGTCCCGAATTTGGCGATCGCGTACAAAACATAGGGAGGTCTTCCTAAAAAGTTACAAAAAAGAGTACAAACAAAAGATGGACAATAGGGGGTCCCTGATTGACCTATTGCCGTTTGCAAGTTAGCCATGCCCCTTAGACAACCTTATGGAACTTTTGTATGTTGAGTTTTGTTTGTCTCAGATTTTGTGCGTTCCACGTCCATTTGTATATCATGCAATTGGACAATATTTCACAAGCTGCGTTGCCGCGATTCTAACGCGATAGGTCATTGCAGGCAATACACACTTGACATAATGAGCCAGCTAGTCAAGTCCTCCTCTGGAATCTTGAAGCCCCTCAACAAAAAGGTCGTCCCAACATGACCCTGAAAACATCCATCGAACTAGAAACTGGTCTGAGTGGTCCATCTCTTTCCATCACTATGCTCGACAGGGACAGTTGGGCCCAACTCATCAAGTCATCATGAAAATGAATGAATAAAAGAAGAAGAAGTGTTTTTGTGGTGATGACACACACCATACAAGTTGTTCTAGTGACGCCCAAGGGGACGAACCTGTGTTCACAGGAACGGAGTGCCCATCTCTCTTCCGAAGCGATTGGGCCAGACTCGAGTCCATGAGCGCCCATCTCTCTTCCAAAGCGATTGGGCCAGACACGAGTCCATGAAATGCTGCTGCGGGGGATCGCCAAACCTCCAGTGACTAACTATGGTACTAAGAGTGCTTGACTCAAGACTGACCTCATATAACATGTGTACATGAGGACACTGAGGCAACGCCCACAGTGATTCTGAAAGCCGCTTGGCTGCTGTGCACCTACTTCTCCTGCACAGATATTTAAATTGAGTTCGACCCGCGCATCATATTTCATTACGCC